CCGTTTGCTTGTGGATGGTAGGCGGTCGTTCGGAAGCGAGTGATTCCTAAAAGTGTGGTCAGACGACGGAAAAGATCAGATTCAAACTGACGTCCGCGGTCTGTAGTGATGGTTGAAGGGCAACGGAAGTTTGCTACCCATCGTTCGACGAAGGTGCGGGCCACTGTTTCAGCAGTGATGTCCTTGATAGGTACTGCTTCTGGCCATCGAGTGAAACGGTCTACGCAGGTTAAGTGGTAAGAGTATTCATTTGAATCTGGTAGAGGTCCTACCAAATCCAAATGAACATGGTCGAAACGAGCATCGGGAGTTTTAAACGAGCCTAAGGGACATTTATTGTGTCTGATGACCTTAGATTTTTGGCAGCTTACGCAGGAGCGTGCCCACTCCCTCACGTCTTTATTCATTCCAGGCCAGCAAAACCGTTCTGCTATAAGCTTGATGGTTGCACGAACACCTGGATGCGAAAGTTTGTGCAATGTGTTGAAGACATTGCGTCGATAATGTTTCGGCACGATTGGGCGATCCCTACCTGTAGATGTGTCACAAAGTAAGGTTTCCTTACCTGTTCCCATCTGTTTGATGCGTAGTTTTAGTGTTGTGGACGATAACTCGTGCTGAAGATCACTGTCTTCTTTTTGAAGCTCGGCGAGTTTAAGAAGGTCGATTCCTTGGAAACGTTTCAAGGAAGTTATGCGAGATAAGGCGTCTGCAACTACATTGTTTGCTCCAGAGATGTGTTGAATGTCTGAAGTAAACTGCGAAATAAAGTCCAGTTGTCGAGACTCACGGGGAGAGTACTTGTCAGAAGGAGAGCTTAACGAGAAAGTGAGCGGTTTATGGTCCGTGAAAAGAGTGAATTCACGACCTTCGATGTAGTGTTGAAAATGCCGTACAGCACAATACATAGCTAGGAGTTCCCTACCGAATGTGCTGTACCTCGATTCGGTGTCTAGCAACCTTCTAGAGAAAAATGCTAAGGGTGGCCATGAGTTGTTAACCCATTGCTGTAGGACTCCTCCGATTGCCGAGTCAGATGCGTCTACTGCGATGCTAATGGGTGCTCAGGTGTCCTGATGTGCGAGCATTGTTGCTTTAGCAATCAGTTCCTTAACTGTGGAGAATGCTTTTCGTGCGGTGTCGTCCAAATTAATGGATTTCGCATTTCCACGAAGTTGGTCGGTCAGAGGTTTCATGAGTAATGCGCATTTCGGTATGAAACGTCTATAGAAACTTACGAGGCCGTTAAACGTGCGTAATTGCTTGACGGTGGTCGGTTCTGGGTAATCCAGAATGGCCGCCACTTTGGTTCTAAGGGGTCGAATGCCTTGAGCATCGATAGTGTGTCCTAGGAAGTCTAACGAGTCGGTTCCGAATTGGCATTTCTGAACGTTTACAGTTATGCCATGTTTTTGAAGTCGTTCGAAAACAAGATCCAGATGCTTGAGATGTGTTTCTCTGTCCGGACTTGCGATTAGACAGTCATCAACATACGCGTGTACGAAGTTGAGACCTCGAAAAACGTCGTCTATGAATCTTTGGAATGTTTGAGCAGCATTCCTTAGACCGAAAGGCATTCGCGAAAATTCATAGGGTCCGAAAGGAGTTATGATAGCTGTTTTCGGTATGTCGTCAGTAGCCATAGGGATTTGGTTATACGCTTTAACCAAGTCGATTTTCGAAAAAACAGTTGTACCCTTCAAAGTAGCTGTCAAATCGTGAATGTGAGGCAACGGGTAACGATCGGGAATGGTTTTCGCGTTCAGTCGCCGATAGTCACCAGTTGGACGCCAATCGTTGCTGTCCTTTTTAGGGACCATGTGCAACGGAGATGCATATGGGCTACTTGACGGTCGTATGATTCCTAAATCTATCATGTGATCGAATTCGTTTTTCGCTAACCTTAGCTTTTCAGGAGCTAGTCGTCGTGCTTTAGAGAATACAGGTGGTCCTGTAGTCGTGATGTGATGTGTAACATTGCTGGTTACACACGGTAATCTTGGTTGCGTTTGTTGTATCCCAGGGTACTTATCGAGTAGTGGTTGATAGGGTGGGTCTATCATATGTTTAACTGTGACTGGGGATACTCTACAACCAGTAAAAGAAGTTACGCAAACGGACAAATTAGTGTTTCCGTCTACTAGCCTCCGTTTGCGCGTGTCGATGATAAGATTATGGTGTTGTAGAAGGTCCATACCAATGATTGGCATAGAAACATCTGCAACAACGAAAATCCAATGGATGGGTTTGCGTAAACCCACGTTAAGGTAAACGTACCTTTTGCCATACGTAGCGATCGGTTTTCCGTTTGCCGCCTGTAAGTTTAGGGTCGATTCGTGAAGTCGGTCGTTAGGATTCGCTGGGAGAACGCTAACTTCTGCGCCAGTGTCGACGAGGTAGCGAACTCTCGTTGTCACATCTGTGACGAATAACAGGCGGCTTTGTTCGCCGGCTACGGTTGCCGTTAACGCGTGCCGGCTTGGAAGTTTCCCGAATTGTTTTTCGAATCAGTCGGTTTCGTGTTGGAAAAATTGCAGGGTTTTCTGCAATTTCTGGAAAACTTTCCATACTGGTTATGATACCAGCACCAGTCGGGGTTATCTGTCTCTCGTGGTCTAGAGACAGATCGCTTACGAGAAATGCTTCTACGTGGTGCGCGCGATCTCTTACGGTCGGTACGAAGACTAAGATAACGCGTGAGTGTGTGACATAAGTCGGTTATATCATTCTGAGTCGTTTGAGGTTTTTCTTTGACTGAAAATACCTCGGTAGTAGGAGGTTTCGTAATTTCTAAAATGCGGTCGGCAGATGCAGCTAGCTCGTCTAAGGCGTTGTTCTGGAACGAGACCAGAACTGCTTGCACCTGTTGGGGAAGTTTTAACAAGAAGAGTTGTTTGAATAGACCTTCGTCGAAAGTTCTTGGGCCTATTACCTCTCTCATCCGTTGCAACATGTCCGTCGCAGAACCGTGTTGCAGGTCGATATTGTTGAAGAGTTGATCTAACCTTTGTCGATCGGTTAGGTCTCCTCGTTTAAGAATCGAGCGTTTTAAGATTTCGTAAGGATCGGAAACATCACTAGTAAACATACTAGGTGTTACGTACCTGTTGAATTCGCGCGGTAGTGCCTTGACTACTGCGAGGAATTGTGCACGTGTGTCGATCACGCCTTGCTCGTAGAAGTCGGCTTCTGCGTAGCAAAACCAAGCTTCGATGTTGTCGGGCCAGAAAGGCATCAGTTGAAACGAAGGTGGGGACAAGGTCTTAAGCTTGAGTACTTTAGGTGTCTGTTCAGTCATGATGAAATATGAAGTACGATAATGAACGAGGGGAAAAAATATATGTATCCAAGAAAAAATACGAAAAAAAATCTCAATGTTTAAGAAAAAAATTAAAAAAAGGCAATGATATATAAAAATCCCAAAAAGGAACAGACTCACAGTTGCAATTAGGTGTACCAGATCACGTCGGTTTCACCAATGATGATGTCACAGGTATTCAGTGTTTGACAACGCTTCTACCAGTAACACCTTCTAATGTATTTCGTTCCCACCCAGAGAAATCAAAAGACAGAGTCGAGGAGATCGGAAGAGTATATTTGGCGATGACCAATATATCGGAATTCTCTGATCTAATCTGGCTAGCGATTGCGGTTGATGTTGAGCACGGCGTTACCACACGTGATCTGGTGCGGATGCCTGACCGAGCGCCTTCAGCTAGATGAGTCCACTAAAACATATGGTCAGAATCCAATGTCGAAAACTTAGGGCTATTTATTTTGGGGATTTATTTACCGCTACACCATTATTCACATAGATGCTGGCGTAACTTTCAGGGTAATCATTAAGAAACGAGAAATAAACAGTTTAGGTTAGATAAATCAAAAAACATGATTTCTTTCATTTTGATACTACGACATGAAGCGAGAGATCTCTCAATTTAGTTTGAAATGTCTTAAATATTTTCCGAAAGGAGAAATAAAGATCTTTGATAAGTCATAGTTACAATAGTTCATTTTCTGCTATTAAATATAGTAGTATAAGCTGAACAATATTCTTCGATTTAAGTAAGAGCAAAGGAATAGAGAAAACTGTGATTTCGATTTAGTACTTAGTTTGCTAAAGAAGGTAACTAAAAGTGAGACGAACAGGATTTCAGTTTTCCAGGAAACCACTTTGAACACGTATTTACTGTCTAGGTCATTTTGAAAGTACCATCAAGGCGTCTTGAAATTTTATGTAAAAAATTGTCCAATAACATAAAATTCATTATTTTTGGAAAGTGATGTTAAAAGACGGTGAACTGCTCAGTCGATAGTTTCTTCATCCCTGAATATTTAGTTTTCTTAATATAATTGCACTCATAAATATGTTACTGACTGGAGTAAGTTAAACTACAAAATCATAAGTAGGTGACACACACCCATTCTGTCTATGATCTATAGAAAGTTTTATGAAAGATATACTAGTTATTTTCTCTTTCGAGAATAATTACTAATTGCAGATGAATATCACAAAGAGAAGTACCAACAGTAAGATAGTGGAATATTGCTCATTTCAATAGGGTAAACTGCTTTATTTTGACTTGAACCCCGACTATATAGCGGTCGTTACAAGGTCTGTAGGTGGCTATCGAACACAGATGCATTGTGACATACTGAACCGTCAATTACTATCGCAAAAGAATGCGATGCAGTCCAAAACAACCCATGTTTTGCAATATTTTAAAAATTACCAGTGAAGAAAGTTAGTTTTTACTTCTTTGTTTCTCATTTTACAAGATCTTCCATATGTAGACTGATAAAAGATGTAACAGTAAAAACTTCTCACCCCTCAAACTTTGATGAACAATGTGCGAAATTATCATCCATTCTAGGCTTCTTTTCTTGGCATAGTTGAATGAATGTATTGGTAGAAAGTTTGCGATCATTCTTGACTAATGTAGGAGGATCGTGAGGATTTTTGAGTTTCCGAATCACAGACTGACCTTTGTTGAACAATTATTAAATATTAGGAAGCACTGGAAAGCTAAGTTTTTTTCTAAATTGAGACTTCTCGCCAGTACGCATCCACCATTTCACTGTTGTGAATAGTAACCAGGAGCCTCGGTGTGCCGTGCAAACATCTAACCTCTAGACTACTTAGCTTACATCCAGTGGCTCATATGCTTACCTTCAATCAATTCTTGATATCTTGCAGCTATCTTTCAGTGTTCTCAGTCAGACCGGAAGATAATGACCTTAGTATATTCAAGGTTACTAACATTACTCACCATTAGAGCTCTTACATCTATGAAGCATATAATTACGTTTAGTTGACTGTCTTTTAGCTTTCATCGGGCTCATTTTTTCATAAACAGCTAACTGTCGTGTTAAAAAACTGCAAATATAAACTATTATTTTCCATTACATTTCATTAGGGAACTTTCTCGATTCACTCCCATAAGTCCCAATGACAAGCATCCTTTTACAAAATGATCTTGTTTTCATATTTCTTTTCCTAGTTATTGGAACGAGCAATTCTTATTTTATATTCATATGTACATATTCTTATTTAATTTAAAATATATTTTAGGTGTTTATGACACTACTTTGCCAATGATGAATCGATCAGTTCGTCTAACAGTTTTTATCCAGATATATAAACCAAATTTGGTATCCGTTAAGTTTGAAGCGAAAATCTCACCATTAGGTAAGAATTCTACAGTGAATTTTTGTGAGAGCCAACTCATAGCATTTACAGGTTCTAATTTGGTAAGTTGTCAGTACAAACCATATTAACTTCATTTATAACGAATAGGCTTGGAAAAGTAACTTGACATTAAAGGATACCTCAGTGGTGAATCAAGCTGAAAAGTTGCAATTCTTTAATGTCGAACTGAGTGTTCCACCTTATACAACAGCGACTTATACTATCCTGATAACTAATACTGGTAAACTAATGACGGAACCATGTTCTGTGGATTACTTGTTAACAGAAAATAATTCAACTAAGAACGTAAGTTTAAAATATCATAATGATTGTTTCCATTTTCTGTGGTTTTTAAAAAACTCTCATAAGGGAGGATAAACTTTACGTGTTTACTTTAACAAACTTGTTTCGATAATTTCAAAGCACGAATAACAGTAGAATTCTTGATGCATGATAATTGACTCCGGCATGATTGTATTTGAATCATTTATATTGCTTGCCACTTGATATTGAGATACCTCAAGTCAATAAACAAGTAAGTGGTAGGGAAAATGAAAACTCATTTATAATTGAAACAACTTTTTTCAGGTTTTTTATTAACGCGAGTAATTCGATTTTCCACTCATTGCGATATGATCAATACACTGTCATTCTACCCAATGCACAGATTATTTGTAATCATTAAGTCGCCATGGTTGTCCGTCGAACCGTAACATAATTCGTAACATTATGATTTCTTGTAAAACTTAAGAACTGAATATTTATGAAATGTTAGGCGGTGTTTGTAGATAAAATACCTCGAAAACATTAGTCCTTTTCGAACTGATTTCTAAAACGCTTCAGTGAACTAATTGATGTAGTCAACAACGATATTTTGAAAGTACAACATGGAATTTTACTATTCCAATGCAACCATTGAGCATATGTGCTTTTTTACTTTTCAATCAATAATTCACTATGATAAATATCAATGTGTGCAGAGGCCAACAAAAGGACTGTTTGAAAATCCTGTATTCCGTGATATCAACGTTTTGTGCATAATGTCATAAGACGTATTTAGTATCAAGTCGTTCACTTCGAAACATATCTTATGACTATTCCAATCCCTTTCACCTTCACAAAAAGAATAACTACTTAATTGGAAATCCAGTTTCCTCAGCTTTGCCATTTCTTCTTGAATGAAGAAGTCTGGATCGAATATGTCTGTTATTAGATTTTCATACTGAATAAAAACATAATCCACTCGATTTTCAATTCATTGTTTGACATTTTCGTTGCACTGAGTACTTACAATATACAGCTCGATAGTATGAACCCGAAATCAATTAGTGTGTTACATAATAACAATAATATAACAATATGCTAAACAGTGGTATCTCAATGCATATTTTGAAGTTATTATTCAGATAAGAAGTTTCATTATAGAGCATTTATTATGCACATAACTTTTAAGATGTTAAAACACTTAGTATGTAGGTCTAATATTTATCACGAATTCATTGATGTTAATCGATATTTTTGTAGAGGAGTGTATGTGGCGCGGCGTATGCATTCTATATATTCATGTAACTTGAAATTGCTAACGGAAACTTCTACACCTATGTGTAATTTTGAGATGACTCGACATGTCTGCTCATTCTATGATTGCATGTAATACATGCTAGCAAGCGTGCCCCTCTATGCCTAGGTGTTTATCACTCGAATATTTCTGACATCTGAATTTAATAAGTATATGTGTATACAACATATTTGGAATAGATCCATGTTTCTCCACTGATGAACTGATCAGCAGCTCATTGGAGTGTTTGGTTTGCATAAAAGTTTCCGAAATTGATAGGAAAGTATAGTGTAGACTAAAGTGTGTCTGTCTGCACTACGTGATAATAATGATTATTAAAATTATTATTGCAATGGAAAAACACATGTAATCAAATTCTCATTTATTAGTACATTCAGTGGAATAACAACATACTTCCTCATAAATATTGAATTAGACATTTGGATTTTATTTATATTTTCCCTGATAACAATTCTATTTGGCTTGCCATTATTTGACTACAACAGTCAGATAAAGTTGAATGTCGATTCGCATATTATAATTAACCTAATTCAGAATAACAGTTATAATTATCTTGACAATTTAGTTTGTTAGTTAATAGTTTCCGTCTATCAGGCATCACTTCTCAATGTTCATTGAAGACAAATATTCCTCATTATTTCTGCTTATCCTTAACTAATTAATAGTTTTATGAATTAAATACATAAATGAATGTCATTAAACAATTTAATCTTTTATTTTAAGAATTTGTCTAAAATCAAAATCATTTGAATGAACAAGCTTATCTCGTCATTGTAATATCACTATTACCCAGAAACATGTTTGGAGAATATCTAATTATTTACTGAATAGCACATCCACTAATTACCTACATATATCATAGATCCTTCACTACAATGAGAAAACGGCTAGTGGATAATTTCATTCTGTGCACTTTTATTAGAAGTTCAATCAGATGTTGAGCTTCATGTATAATTTACTCGAACACCTTCTTACTGAGATTAGAATTAAAACTTCAATGAATTTGGAGTGAGACATTTCATCTCTGTGTCTGTTTGATAAATAGGAATTTAGTGAGCAGAACACGGGTGTGGAAAATCAAATTGGATTTAGCACAAAATTACAGAGTTTCTTGGTAAAATAGAAAAACCATATAGCAAATAGTTAATTTGCAAAATATCAATCCATCATATCAACCTGGACTGTTCCTGTTGCAAACACCAATCCATTATCTCGTATTTCATTATTCTTGCGTTTTCTTACAAATTGCATTGTGTTCCCGCTCTTCCTTTCTTGATCTTCTCCCATCTTCTGCTGCCAGACAATAGGTTTTTAACTCGCGTCATATACTACATATGTCAATATAAGTAGCACACACCACAGGAATACTTCTTCACTACCAATAAAATTCATTGTTTCATGTAATGATCCGAGATTTCAAATATCAAAAGGAGTTTGCGTAATGATCAATGGGTTAAAGAAGAATAGGGAGATATGACTATAATATACAGGTCACAAATTCATAGTTTCATATTTTACTATATTTTCTATAATAACGGACGAGTTTCCACTGATAATACGTGTCTAATTATATTTCCATAAGCAGTTACTACATGTTGCATGTAACATAAACTACGGTTACACCATTAGTATAAATTTGTATAGCCCTTAACAGTAAAGCTTTCTACTTTTAATATTTTGACTTGTGTTTGACATGAATTTCAACCAGTTTATTAATTCAGTATTCACTGATGTATGGAAACTCTAATTAGTTAAAATTATTTAGACATTCCTTTGATCAATGATTCCTAGATGCACATACTCTAACATTTAATGTTTAATAAAAACAACGAATGAACATTGTTTTAATCTAGGAGGTGGAAACTCTAAAGAGGGGTTTAATAAACAAAAAGAGTGTTGTTAGTTTTTGTCTTTGGTATGTTTAATGAATGCAAAAGCAAAATCCTTGCAATAGTCATTGGTTCTATTTATCTGATGTTGAACTCTGTTGATTGAGTGCTGTATTCATCATATGAAACAGTAATGGATTTTCAATAGATTTATTCCATCCTTTACTTAGTCATGTATCCATCTTCACAGGATCAGTTACATTGAGTTATGTACATATAATCGATTTGACCGGAAAACTTATATGCCACATGACTGAACAGTGTATAATATCTTGTCATTACAATACATGTCGTATATGTGTAGAGTGTTTTGTGTGTATTACTTCTTGCTAGTTTGATTGCTGGAAGTTGAGCAATAATATTTCTCTCGAAGTCAGGCATAAAGTATAGATTTTTCTTACTCAGTGATGTTAAACGGTATCCTATTGATTCCGTTGATATTCATAAACAAAGAACTATCATGTCACTATTAAGGAATTCGATATTAGTAAATGTTTTGACATAGTATTTTCAACTTGATTGTTTAACTTACATTACAGATCAGGCTAATAACAGAATACACTGCAACTCAAAGGCGAAGAACAACAGGCACAACGACAATTGGTATATTCAGAAACAATGGCCCATGGAATATTAATTACAATTTTCGAATCGGATTAAAATTATTATACAATGCCAGCTATACCTTGGGTGATACAATGCAAGTGCAGCTTCAGATGTTTAGTATTGTACTAAATGTATGTTCTTTTGTTGTAACGCTTCCAATAACGTCTATGGAGCAACCCATAACCACTACTCCTGTAAGTTTGATTCATGTTTTCATTTACTAATGCATCTAAACGACATTCTACAAATAAAACCTGATCTATCAATGTAGGACAAATATCTTTTTCAATATCGATCTAGTTTATTTGTATTTGTTACATGGACCTTCCATTGATATGTTGGAGAGCAAATGATCATTTTCTTGTGGTATACGTGCATCACATCCAGATCACTTCGATATTGTGATTAAGTCATAAGTGTTTTAAGCAGAGTTGGACAGTAGATAAGAATAAAATCCAGGACGATTATGCATATATGATCACAGACACTAAGTGGAGGTTGCATTGTATGTTCGAAGTACTGAGTTCTAGTCATCATATGAACAACAATACTAGAGTACAGGAAAGCTTATATGAAATCGTATATGCAAGCTTAAACTCATTTGTAAGTCTACTATGCTACCTCAGTGATCGAAAAGTTTATCTAACATTCAGAGGTCTATACTTGAGTGACACAACACAAACGTATGTTCGGATGTTTTCTGGATCACTAACTGTATCTTCTTTTGTTGTAACGCTTCCAATAACGTCTATGGAGCAACCCACATCCACTACTCCTGTAAGCTTGATTTATGTTTTCATTTAGTAATTCATCTAAACAACATGTTTGAGGGTTAATATTGCTTTGACTTTCGTACATTCTCCCAATCCTTCTATAAACGCGTGGTGGTGTCTTTGTAGCACAGCATTTTTCTGCTTCCACTCTAAGGGGTTATCAGTTCTGATTCGGCTGCAGATGTTGTTAATCAAATTCTCTGCTAGTTTTAGTGTCTATCAGATCTAATCCAAACAAGTCAAGTGCTGGATTCTTTGTAAGGTATACTGTTACATTCGTTGTCACATTACCTTTAGAAAAATTGCAGGGTACTTCTCCAAAAGTAGTCAACTTCCCACAAGATGCACTGTGTGTTAGTTGTGTTATTGGATGAACTGTGGGACTCCCAATATGTCTCCAAGTTTCTGGGCTGATGAGAGTGACATCAGATGCTGTATCGAGTCGAAGGCGAGTGCGTTATTTAATAATATCCAAAGTTACATACTTTCTTCGACGGTAACTTCGTGCTCTGGTCTGAGATATCAATATTTTGTGAGTTATCGCACCAGATCTGTATTTTTTGAGATAGGTTTTCGAAGAGCGACGGTGGGTTCTTTTTGTGCAGCTGGATTCTCTATGACACTTACGATGACATTCAGTATAACGATAGTTTTTATATGGGAAAATCTTCTTGTAGTGCCACTCACCGCATAACCAGAACTACTGTGGAGGTTGTTTGTTTGAGCTGTCATGTGTGCGTACAAAAAATATTTCCGACGATTTATTACCTGTACGTATGGTGGCCAACCACTGTTTTCAACCACAGATATGTCACGTTTTAGGTTCGTCAACGTCTGACATTCACTAGTCACTTCTTATAGCGCCATATTTAGACACTGCTCAATTTTAATCAGGATTCTGGTTCTGACCTCGACATCTTCAAGCGGCTGAAAGCTGTATACAAAAACAAAATACTTGAACTGGTCTTCTATCATTGCTGATAATTTGAAACGCTTACTATGCCAGCATGTTGCACCCGGCCATCGTCTCCAGCTTTATTCAACTTCAAAAATTGGTAATGAATATTGAACAAAGATGACTGTTCACCGAAAATATGCGACAAAGTTACGACCGTTGCATCAAATGAAAAGTCTCTGGGGTTCTAAGGGAAAATGAAGTTGGTGTAGCGTTCATGTCCAGCTGTACCAAGTTTGCGTAGCAGTACTCTGTTCTTTGCGGCATCGTCAAATTTTTCTAGGTCGACCCTGAACACATCTTTGTATTTCTTGAATCACGATTCAAATGTAACACCAGCCAAACCATCAAAATGAAATTCATGGATAGAATTAATAATGTGGTCGACATTGGATTTGAGTGGATCATCTGTAAGCCCCTTTGATGTAGGCTCATTTGCTGGGTTAGAGCTTCCAGAATACGAATCTGGAACTGTTCGTAACGTTTTTCTTGACGCTCAAGCAAGGCTTCGACTTGGTCAAAGATAAATGACATTTTGATAAGTTAACCCCGTCACCAGTTGTGATATCTAGTTTAGGTTCTTAATATACCACGTATAACCTGAGCAATCGAACGCTAGATCACTCCAAGTCGCAAATAAAAAGAAAGTGGAAGAACACTTGATAAAGTGCTTGATGGGTAAGAATCAAAATGTACAGAAAATCATGGGTATTTAGCGCTTGTTATACCAATATTATGATTCAACCAGTCCGCGAATAAACATTTTACGCCACCTGTCGATAGTAGCATGCCACTTTGATATTCTAGAAGTCCCCACTACTTTCTGAGTAGATGAAACTCTTTGGCTTCTCTATGGTCTCTGGAGGCTCAGTCGTAGTTTTTGGAAGCTGTCTCAACAATGTGAAATTGATCTGCATTGGCTGCACATGCATCAAATATGACTAATCAGAATTCAATCAGAAAATCTACAGCCGGATAATCCGAACTCCTACAAATTAAGTCGAAACACTTTTGTTCTGTAGGTATACTGATTATGGTATCGAATCCCAGATCACATCAACCACCACTTTCCTATACACGTCGATTTTTTGTATCATAGTCTAATTTCGAGTCACCATCCATCTGTCACTGAATTGACTGAAGGTGAACTAATGTGCTCCACTGAAATAAATTTTTGACCTAATTAAAAGAGGTACAGATTTAGTCAAGATCTCTTGTTTAGCATTAAAAGGTACGGCCGTTTATTTTACGATATTTGACTTAGTGATTGTTGATTTATATCGAAGCAATTAATGGTTACAGAAGTCAGCAATTGAAATACAAAAATATCAATGTTTTAGCATGGAGCACTTTAAATTGCACAGCTTTATAAATGCAGCAAGAAACATAGTACTACACCAAGTTAGCTCCTGGTAATTTTCAACTAAATCTGGATGTCCTACTTACCCAAATACTTTTCGTTTAAATCACACCTAAATTAATCAGTCATGCTGTTTGTCTAACATTTATTATTCCTTGCAAATCATTTCAGATGAATGCTTATAACTCAAATATAAACTGCATGTAAATGTAAACTTAAATTGTAATCAATCTCACAATTTTGCATTCAATCAATTATTATTTGTTATCATTTGCAAACACTATTTGAAATTAGGTCTCTAAAACTCCTGTAGTTACCATTGAAAAAGTCGAACCACGAAATTCACAACCAACAGTAAACTTTAGTACAATTGTAGAAGTTCGAGTGAAATTCATTGAAGACTTTGTCTACATGCCGATAACTTTTCAACTACAAGTAAATTCAAATGAAGCAATTATAATCAGACAGAGTATTCAAACAATTGGATATCTATTAAAAGCTGTAGCACTTGTGGGCTATGATTTTTCTGTTAAACCGTAAGCTTGATTATCAACCGTATTCTTATGTATATGTAAATATGAATACTTAATTCATTATATATATATATATATATATATATATATATATATATATATATATATATATATATATATATATATATATACTCATTTATAATGTTACAAAAAATCAAGTATACCGATATGGATCAATTCCGCGACATCAAACGTGGGCTAAACTAACTACGAATACTTGTAATTTACTATTTTCAAACAAGAATCCCTTGTTGAAAAACATAATATCTACCAAACTTTCGAATTTTCGAGATTATTCTCGATAACTGTCTTGCATAATTCGTCAATAAATCTGAATGTATTATCCAGAACTCTATGTCAGTTTGTTTTATCAGTTTTCCAAATTACATTTCACATATCAGTAGATTTCTGTGCAAAGAAATGCATTATATTTTAATGAGTTATCATTTCAGAAATATCCACTGAGTATTAGACCACATTTTTTCCGATAGATAAGATTGAGATATTTGAGAAAATACTTTAATTCACAGTATATAGAAATTGTACATTATTATCGTTTTGTTAATCCATACGTTCGTTAAGAATTCAACACGTGTAGGGGTTGTAGATTGCCACATACATTCAATTACCAGTCACTGTAGTAGGGACCTAAATGTAGGTAATCTATAACGAGTTAATATTCAATTTTCATTTATATATACAAATGTTGTAGTATCCATGATGCTGACCGTTATCCTCTATATACGTTGAAAACACTGAACATAACTGAATCACTGTTGATCAAACCCGTTTGACGTATCAACATTATTATTTTTATTATTACAAAATGTGCCTTATCACAGTCCTTAAGAATATGCGTAGCCGATTGTATACTAAATGTTTCTCAATAGTTAATTGAGTAAAGACAAAATGAACTTGGCACATACTATGTGATTTTTATTAAAATATATTATTATTCACTTGGTATTGTTTCCTTGAATCTTCCCACTGATGTGTGGGATTGCGATTGATCAGTCTCTTAATGGCATATGTGCACACTGTGCGTATTGTCTTGCTATTGCCATAATTCATAAGCATAATAAGCAAAGATGGATAGTGGCTAGCAGTGATATCCAGGACACGCGTTTCGTTCTATTGAGGACTCAGTAGCTAAGTGGATAACACGATGGTGTTTGAAGCGAACGGCAATGGGTTAGAGTCCCAGAGTGAACATCAAATCTGAGATGCAGGTACATCCGGTTGACGAGTCCCAAATTGGACGAAATGAGCATCTTCGATTCCACTGCTAGCCCCTATTCATCTTTGCTTATAATCCTATTATTTCTATCATTTCGATGAACCATGAATAAAATGAAAATTGAACCTAACCAGCTTCAATAACCACTTCTATATTTGTTGTTCACACTTTTGGCAAAACGCTCATGAATGTGGTGAAATTATGCACTTTCTACTCACTAACATACTGTGATTATCGAAAGCTGGAAATATTTCAGTGAAACAACAACTCATCCCTAATAACGATTAAATAATAATTTCATACTGCACTACAGTATTTCTGTAATTCTAACAAATATCAACAAATCTTTCTTCCTTTTCTTTTGCTTTTCTTTTCTCGATTACCAAAGTAATTTGGCTAGATTGCAAATAAATTCGGTGTACTTCAATGAATCATGTACAGATGCTCAGTGTGATATTGCAATGCGTTATTCGATAATTCCATTTATCACGAAGCCTTTAGTAATCACATCAACATTTACCTCTGGTGTATCCAGTTTTACGAAAACATTAACTATTACTCCACGAGATAACTACTTTACTGTGTTGGTATGACTTCAAACAATATGTTGTTACATTGAATTTTATTTTATACTTTACTTCAGAGTTAGTTACCCTACCGTAAACCACTGGCTGTTATTTAGGTTTACACAAATATTGATAACTGGTTAGAACAAGTATGATTTTTGCAACGTGACATACATACACAAGTTGAAGTGATGTTCGAACAGGTTGTTCACTTCGTTGTGTTGTAAAATTTGATAAATTTGAAGACGACTTTCCTGTATGATGATTTAGTAACCAGCAAAAGCAGAGTAATATTGAATACTGGATACCTAGCATTTATGATACACACTATGTTACTAAATTATTAGTGAAAATTCACTAATTTATAATATTCTTCATTAAATCACCTCGTAGATTAATCCTATGAGGATTTACTTTCGATTTGAACACCAAACCTGACTCTCTGATTGACTTACATGACAGGTTAATGGATCCATCAGGAAATTCTAAAATTCATCTTGAATGAAACCACTGAAGAGCATTGTAATTTTATCGATTTTATTAATTCGTGATTATAGGGGTAAGTTGTAAGTGTTTAGTTCATAACACATTTTATTTAAACTTTTACAGAGTATAAGAGGAATTTTCATTTATTAATTTTTTAAGTCATCAAGTCAGGCTCCAGGAGTTGATCTAATTTCTATTGATTCAAAAACAGTCAAAAATCAAGTTATACCGAACTATATGACATCACTGAAGTTAACGCTAACTCTGAAACCCAATGTATGGCAGACGATATATTTTCAACTTTATGCTCCAGGTGCCTACCAAGAATACAGATTAGTCAAGCCAATAATGCTAAGCTAATCAACATCATTGCCATATGTCAGCTCAGTTTCGGACTCTTTGGAAAATATGGTTTATATCAGTATAGATAAAGCTTATTACGAAGGTTTGTTAACATTTACTGCACTGTTTTACTAATAGTGGTCGGTATTGATATGATTACTAATACACTATCTCTCAAGAGCGAACGAGTTTATAGATGAATCCTCTTCTCTGTATTTAATAAGGCCACCGAATAATGTCACAGCAGTCTTCAAGCTAATTTCTCGTCAGTTAATAAGGTTTTATTACAAATTCAATAATGTACACATTTTCTGTTCTAACTACATATGGACAATCCTATCTACGTGGTTGCACTTTCATATAAATCCCCCTGATTTCTGTTATTGTTTCATCAAAACAATCGATGTAGATTGTTCCCATGAGTGTTAATCTATTCAGCTCACCGTTTCATTTGAACCATATGCATTGAATCATTTCCCCATAGAATTTTAATTTTTGATTGATAATAAACAGATCAACTACATTTATCAATACACTGAAATATTTAATTTGCAGAACGTGTTTCCCTCCGTTAAATAATTCAGTGAAAGTAAATCGATTTCAACTCAGTTCAGGAATTCCAAGAAATTAGTGACGGTTCGCCAGTAAATCAAGATAATTTCCTATGTCTACTCTTTTCTTTGAAACACTTATATAGATATTTCTGTGAAAAAAATATCTCTATTGTTAATCATTTGACCGTATTTTTAATTGTAATTAGTGTCTGCGATCGAGTCTACCATTCCTTAAATTTATTGTTCCAAAGAGAACAAAATTCATCTAAGTTCCAAAAACCATCAATATCTGTGGAACTCAGAAAATAATTTTGTCACAGTCTCTTAATCAAACTGTGAATTTATGAACACGGTAGTATGAAGCTTGCAGTTTGCAATGCTCTGCTAGTTTGAAATTTATCCAGAAAGAATTAATTGATATTCCCACTGACATTCCTATATCGAGATTAGTTTGAATTATTCCAACTAAAAAATAATTATACTAGCCTACTTTAAGTAATCTTAAAAGATTTATTGTCTGGTTTAATATAGCAATATTTTACTTGAAACAATGATGATGAGTCATAAGACTGATATAATGGACTCAGTTCTAGTCAGTACTTAAATTGAACGTTCTTGAGAAACTTCATACCATTTCTGTTTTATTTGTAACAATGACTGTATTATTATCAGAATGGGTTTTGTGGAGATTTTTAGAAATTTCACAAATTGAAATCATGAGCCAATTGAAGCTAGACCGCGCGCAAAGCCAGTAGGTCCTGGGTTCGAATCCCGCGGGGGCGGGTTCTTGGATGCGCACTGCTAAGGAGTCCTATACTAGAACGAAACGGCCATCCAGTGCTTCCAGGTTTTCCATGGTGGTCTAGCTTCAATTGGCTCATGATTTCGACGTGTGAAATAACTGTATTGACTAATCATTGTCAGCAACCTAATCCCGTAGAAAACAACCTTGTGAATACAAACGCTAATCAGAATACACAAATTAAAGCAATATTTCTCTGCTCTCCGAGTTGAAGTATCTTCATTCAGAAGAACTATGAAGCTTAGTGGTGAAGGCCGAGATTCTTCGGGAGTCATGAGACCGATGCTCATTCTAACAACTACAGCAACAATTTTTATATGTACATTGAACGTACGGATAATGTGGGAGACCGAGAAGACTATTCAAATAGCTGTGGAAATGGAGAAATACAACTTGACAGTGCTCGAAATCAGTGAAGCCCACTGGATCCAATCCGCACAGAAGAAGATAGATACGGATGAGATGCTGCTAAACCCTGATTATGGAGAGGAAAATTCTCTTCACACTCAGGGAGTTGCATTGATGCTGTTCAGTGAAGCATGAAGTGAACTTATAGGATGGGAATCTCATGGATCCAGATCCATCAAAGCATCCTTCAAAACAAGAAGGAAGAAATCACAATGAATATTATCCAGTGTTATGCACCCACCAATGATAGCAATGAGGACGATAAAGAACAGTTTTAAGAGTAGCAAGAAAATCACCGAGACTTGAGAACGGATGAACATATGGGTAGAACACTTTGAGAAACTTTTGAGTAAGCCAGCTCCACTTAATCCACCGGATATTGAAACAACACTGCAAACATGTGCCACATTCTATTCAGGAAGATTTTGGAGGAGGAACAAGTGCCATTGACATACTGGAAAGAAGGACACCTCATCAAGATACCAAAGAAAGGAGATCTGAGCCAATGTGAGAACTACATAGAAATCACACTGTAGTGCGTGCTACTTATATTGATGTAAATAGTATATGACGCTAGTTAAAAAGGTGATTTCATACACATAGTTCCCTTTA